AATAAGCCTTTCTTGTCCATTTTAGATTATTCACATATTGAATTTCCCTGAATGTGTAAAGTTTATTGTTTATATTAAAGCAGTTGGGATAACTCCTGGAAGTAAATATTCAGAATTCCTAAAAGTCGAGGTAGTTTCACTGGCTTAAGTATGTGTCACTTGCCTATGTATTTATACTGTAAAAGTCAGCAATGATAAAAAATATCATGAATTGCCTTCTCTTATGACCAAGTTACTGGAAAAGTTGTTCAAACCTGTGTATATAATGGTTAAGAAATATGTCTTTATGTGCACCAAAAGATGAATTAATGAGTTATGGCCCATAAATAAAAACGCGGTTATTGCTTGTTAATACTTTCTGTGCCTCCTGCTACACAATAGCTAGTACTTGCAATATGCATACTACAAATAAGTCGCGACATATGTGAAACAAAACTGTCTAATCACCTCTCAAAACAAGTACTGAATTTGCGATAATCAGTCGACATGTGTGAGCATTGATTTCTCTTGTTCTGTGATATTTAGGCTTATTAATGCTTCCGATGGATCACTTTGTTTCCAGAATTCATAACATCTGATCCAAATTTAAAGTTACATTTAATTTAGTTCTGCTTATTGTTTTCCCGTTTAATGTCTTAACATGGACTGCCACAAAGTTTCAAATTCAAAGTTTAATTTTGACGCATTTAATGATCACCGCGGTATAAACACATCTTAGCTTATTTCGAAATTAAAGTTTCAAACAAGTGTCAAAATAGACATGTAGATATGTTCAAATGTTGATTACACCTTCAGCCTGTGCTAGATGCATGGACGGAATCATTCATTTACCACTTCCGTCTAGAAACAGGCTCGGTTTAACCGAGTTTCCAACATTTCACTCTTGCCGTATTTGACGTTCTTCAGACATTTAATCTTTTCTTTGATATATACACTAGAAAGAAAACGATTTCATTATACAAAAACAAATAAACAAACCTGCAGGATCAGATGTATACTTGTATGCAAGCATAACGGTCTCGGACTTATTTAATTTTATAAATGTCTCGAACAGCGAGCTTAAAATGCGTTTAAATGCTTCTGCAGATATTAATGCACGAAACTTTAATACTTGCAGATTTTATGTTAATCTCATGAACTATTCATCAAATCTTAATACAATATGCACCACTTGAAAACGGATTATATACTATATTTAGGTAGTTTTATTACTGTGTGAAACTACTTCCTTCTAGCAATATCGTAATAATGATATCATTTAGGTAAATATGTAAAATATATAGATATAGTTTATTTTAGAGTGTTACATTATTTTAACTTGTAAGTCTTTATAAATGGCTATTCTCGAGTATTGCAAATACATATTTGCGAAAGGCGAATATCAAGTTTCCAACATACTTACCTACCCATTTTGTGATGAATCCAAAGGATATGTTTAGTTCAAAACACATGAAAAAAATGAAATGTAAGTTTTACTAAGTATGTTAAAAGTAAGAAGCCAGCAAAATGTTTTAATTGTTCTTTTATTAATCCCACAATACCAATTCGTTCAACTATATAATTTGTTATTTTGTTAACGTAACTAGTTAATTTCGTTCATCAAAATACGATCTTACTATTCTCGCATCTTAATGAGACAGATACTGTGGTACCATCCCTTCTTAAATTTGTTTGACGACCGTGTACGTGTCATTTTACACAGTTTCATTTGATACAATAATAATACCAAAGCAAAATCAATTGATGTTGTTTCTTTCCTTTTTTTCAGTTTAATTTCAATATGAAATTTATACTTATACATTAATATAACAACATATTTACTATTTTATAATTGTTTCACATTTTACATTATTTGCCTGTTATAATGTTAGATTATTACATGATTAACATGTCCTTGAAAACGATATAAGTTATACAAGCAGTGTTTGTTGAGAAAGTACCGAATAAGTGTTTTTTCCTGCGGTGACTTAATTTCTGTGTCTGCGGTCACTGTCATCACCACAGAAATAAAAATCGCAGATTATTCCTCCATGTCTATTACGATATAATGAATAAAGATATTTTAATACCATATATAGTGTTTGCCGGTACGCTAAAATATTTGATTACCACTAAATCATTACAACCATTTTAACCCTTATACTGCTAAATAATCGTCGTATAATAAAATAAATAGTATAATAATTATTATTGTTTTCTTCTTTACGTTAAATGTGTATCACTGTTTTTTTTTAAGATTAAAGATACTACCGGGATATATTTATCACACATCATTTCACGGTGATCAAAAGGTGCATACTTCCTATTGTTTGTTGGGCGTTTTATTTGTTTGCAAATGATCGTTTAAGGATTTCAATGTTCGGACTTATGTGTTTTTCAAGACTGTGACCAATGTAAAGTGAACTGTCGGTATACACTGGCTGTCCAGCGGGACAGAGATGAAATGATTCAATAAGTGAAATGTGTGAAAGCTGTGCGTTAAAGTCTCAAATGCTCAGTAGAAAATGAATTATTTGTATACATTGCAATGGTGACTTTATTTTAACAAGATGCAATGTAGTTTACCATCGTTCTTATAAAGTAAGAGATGGACATGCAAACGAATACTGTTCAAATGTGTATACAAAGCTCTTTGGGCGAAATCATAAGTACAATCTGGAGGGATGTAAATATCATAAATGTAACGAAATGTAACAGACGTACTTTATGATGTGAAGTCAGAACCCCATGATACATTTTTTTTAATTTCTACGGGGCTTAGAAGAAGTTTATTTCTGTAAACTAGACAGTATATGTTATGGAAATAATGATATGAAAATGAAAAATATATTTAACGTAAAGTATTGATATAAACATCCATAGATTTAAATATAAGAGCCTTAAACGAGAGCATTTGTTATTCAGCAACAAGTCAATGCCATAAAACACATAACTATCAAAACCTTTTGATAATAAGTCTTCCTGAATTTAACATTTAATAATCAGATACATCATGAAACATTATGTTTAGTAGGCTTTTCAGTTCTTGCATGCATCTTCACGTGGTCTAAATGTTTTATGCAAGTATCCAAAATGAATTTATAATTACATCTTCGGCATGCATAACTGACAAGAACATTTGTATTATTTACTAATTTATGAATATAGATTTGAAATTATATTCAGAAATAAATATTATTGTTACAAATGTTTTGTTTAACAGACTGCTTTCCAGATTAAACCTTAAGCAAGACAATCAAAAGAGCTTATATCGGTCGACAAATTAAACCAAATATGCTAAATCACTTACATTATTACATTCAAGCTTACATATATAAGTTGTTTATATTTAAGTGCAATTATTGCCATTTTATACTTGTATTATTTGCGCTTAATTAAAGATGGAATTTAATTTACAACGAGGTCATTTAAACAAGGTAACTGCCTTCAAACAGCGCGATTTGGACATCAACTGACGAACTGACGATTTAAAGTTAACACTTAATGAAGCCGCGATTTTAACATATCAGTTTAAACTTATTTTTTTCAGCTCGATTCCGAAACAAGTACCCACAACTTATATTAATTAATTTTAGCATATAGAAGACACAAATTAACGAGATCAACTCATGACTTTATGTTTTCAGTGGCATGTTTTCACGGTTTTAACTTCACCAACACGTGATTGCAACTGAATTTATACAGCTTCACAAATTTGAGCCTCAAGATTTCGCGTTTTTAACTAATGAATTTACAATTTCACAAATCAACTTCATGAATTTACAAAATCAAATTAGTGAATTTAATTTGATGAAGTCATCTTTGTTAAGTTTCAGTTAAAATTTGTGAATTTTTGAAGTTGCAATCGTTCAATAATTCAATTGGAATTTTGATAAAGTGAATTTCAACATTCAAAATCGTGACTTAATGAGATTGAACTCAACAAGTCATGAAGTTGAACTTTTGGACACTTGAATTCACGATGAAGCTGAATTTATTATTCATGAAATTGGAATTGAAATCTTGAATTTATGAAGTTTAATTCATGAATATGGGAAGTTCTAATGTCACCGCCGGACTTTCGAAAGTATGTTATACATTTATGTACTTTAATTGTATGTCTAATATTTGAATACATTTAAAATCTTCCTAAAGTAAATTAATATTGTCTTTCATATGTATAATTTAAGTATTTCTTATAATTGCAAAAACAAATAAAACGATTTAGTTCCTTTTTGACCTTGTTTATACGAATAGCTTCGCATCTAAAAATAACCATTAGACTTGCTTAAAATGGAGTCACTGATGCATAACGTATCTCTTCAAATTACACATATAAAGAGGAAGTTTTGAACCGGTTTATTTGGTAGTGATTATTAAGGTATTTATATTTTATATATTTTGCTCGTTTTAGGAACGCTTATGGATATTTCATAATTTTCTTTCGCTTCTTGAAAAAGGAATAACGGATAACAGTATTGTGATAATTCTATCAGTATAATTATGCAAGTATCGCAACTGTTTTTTAAGATTTCTTGTACCTGACTACAGTTTAACTTAATTGCATAATAAATTCGAAATGTTTCAAATATTCTATTGTAATGCATCTTAAACTTCTAATATATGAGACATACAAGTAGTACTATTTTTGAGCTTTAAGATACGTATAACCACGGAAACGAAGGATAATAAATTTACTCGTTTAGTCATGCTTAATACATAATAATTATGTTTGAACAACATGTCTATACGTTGATCACATAATTATCGACATATATGTATTATTTTCATTTATAGATTGATTTTCATATGAATACGGAATAATGTTGTATCAGGAAATATCAGCATTTTTACTTATATTGCTTGTTGATATGGTATTTCCTCGTAAGTATTTTTACTTCATGATAATCTGTACTTAAAAATTGAATACAAATGTGTTAATTTTAGTAACATGTTTTTCCCATACATGCTTCAATAAAATGTTGCCATTACATAACAATTTTTCTTAAACTTTATTTTATTATTACTTTTTAGTGGTCACGTTTAAATATTTGATATATACATATATATTAAATGTTACTGAGCATAATCTAAGTTCTTTGCATTGTATGTTTGGAATTACAAATGTAAATGTACAAATTTGTAAAAAATAAAAATAAATATTTACAGAATGTTATGATGGCTGCAAATCATGTTCCGGTCAAATTTGCACAAGTTGTGAAGAATCTTACTTTTTAACAAATGGCTTCTGTTCACAATGCCCCGAAAACTGTGAAAGCTGTAACAGCTGGGATGATTGTACTTTATGTAAGCCAAATAATTATGGTTTACATGCAAGATGTACTTTCAACTGTGATGGTAATTGTCTTAATAATGCTTGTCAAGATAATACTGGAAATTGTCTTCAATGTAAGCCTGGTTTCTATGGGCTTGTTTGTCAACACAATTGTAGTTTATGTAGAAATGAACGTTGTGATTTACACAGCTGCTCGAGTGGTTGTAGAGATGGATACTATGAGTATTTATCAGGTGTTGAAAACATCTGTCAAAAATGTTCATCTAATTGTAAACATTGTAAAGATGAAAGCAAATGTTCTGTTTGCAATAATGATTATCATTTGTATGGATTCAATGACAATGTTCACTGTGTCCAATGTTTGCAAGAAATACCATGTCCATTCTGTGTAAAACAAGGCTGTGACAATTGCAAAATACTTAATGGCTCATTAGTTTGCACTGATTGTCCAGTTGGACAAAGGTTTGATGGCAAAGTGTGTGTAATAGACACTAACATCATATGCTCCAATAGTTGTTCCACTAAGTGTGATAATAATGGGATATGTCAAGGAGAATGTAAAGATGGCTGGACAGGTGAAAAATGTCAAACACAATGTTCTAATCAACAGTGTTCAAAATGTTATAAAGAAAATGGCAACATGTGTAAGCAGTGTAAAGGTGACTTTTTCTCAGATAATTGTAGTTTAATTTGCAATACATCATGTGCAGTAGAAGATGGCAATAATACATGCAGAATTACGGATGGGTATTGTTTAAATGGATGTAAATCGCAATTCTGGGGCGAAACCTGCGAGAAATCGTGTCCTGATGGATGTAAAGATCGGCAATGTGACAGAAACAACGGCACATGTACAGGAGGATGCGCTGGTGGATTGACAGGGGACAAATGTAATCAAGCTATCACAATGGGCAAAAAAGGTTATTATGTTTATTGTCATTAAACGCACATACTTAAGAATTCATTTTGATATGTTGAATTCAAATCATTCAAACATGTCAGTTTAGAATGCAGATTATGGATTGAATCCAATGAATGTCAAGACGAAATTGTTTGATGATTTACATTTTTTTCAACTGTTATCAAATATTAAATGGTAAATCGTCTGTTCATTATCAGTCTGTACGGAAAATAATAACTGTGCGACAACAAGACATTGATTTTCGGTAATAAACATTATTGCAAAATATAACGTAATACGATTATAATGCGTGACCATATTCTGTAACGCTAACAAATATGAGTTAAAAAGTATATTTTTAAAGAATGGTACAGTGTAAATTGTTTAAAACGGATATTTAATCAGATTATACCTTATAAGAAGAACGTATAAGAAACATGTACCTTGTAAGATTGAAAGAGCGTGCAAAATCCAAAGCTTGAAACCATTTACTAAGTAAGTTTAAATCATATGTTTTCTTGTGTACAACCCATGACTATTGTATCAATGCGTACATTAAAAATCTAAGAAAACAGGCTATAAACATAGTGGTAACATGAGCAATATCCCTTTCTATCAAGCTATAGTATGGCGTAAATATTGAATTATGCTAACGCCGGTGCTAGGGGGCTTGGACGGTAAATTGCACTTTCCATTACCGTCCATGAACAGGCTCAATCAAGCTGAGCCTGCAACATTTTCATTTTTGTCGTTTTGAGCGTTCTTGGGAAATTGTTTATTTCTCTCTATTTTTCCTGCATTGCAGTCAGTTTAAATATAGTATCATTAATTGTTTAATTCAAAATATAAACACATTTGCTTTGTTGTTAAAATAATCTAGTGTGAAAAATCGTATAGCCTGCCATTTATCTGTCTACCTTATACGTTAATTTCTATCAGCTTTCCCAAAGACAAGTGAATGAAACAATTAAATTCTTGGCCATACTTAATTGTTATAAATAAGGTAAGTTTATTGAATTGCCATTTCTGTCATATATTTCATTTATACAAAAAGTATATTAACTTGCTCATGCTTGGTCATGTTTATTGTTCGGTGTCCGTTTCTTGAACTTGATATGTTGAAGCAATGATTTTACAGTCATTGTCTGCTACAGTTATCCGAATAGATAACATGATAGAGCCTATATATTTTAACATTTCTTGCGATAACAGGGAGTAAATGTGTCTTACACTGTGGTTATACACCCTTTTTTACAGAATATATTATTTATTTCATCACTTTATGTTTTAGAATTGAAAAGTAGTAAATTGTTTTCCAACATCAATAAAGAATGTCAATTGCTGACACTGAAACATTGGTAAATAGAACCAATTATAAATGCGACAATTCCTTAAAGTGTTAGGTTGTATAATTGACAATGTTTTAAGGGTTATTAAAGACTTTGAATTATCATACTTATCCTATTCCTGTCACAAGAACAAAACATAACAAATGTTTACCGTCTTCTTTGTAAAATATTGACCATTTAAGCTATACTTTAGTGTCAGTTATTTAGAACAACAGCAACATGTATGTTTTATCAGTTAAAAGAACAGTTTTACTCATTTCATCTTTACGCATCTTTAGAAGTAGTAAAACAACCATAGTTTTAAAATGAATGTAAACAAATAAAACCAAACTTAAGCATTTCCAAAAAATGATTTATTGTAAAAAGGGTACAAAAAAGAAGAAAATTCCATCAGACAAAAAGGATAAAAATATTTTTAAGTTGACCCCCCCCCCATGCACACTCTGTATCCTTCACTGCAATTGAATACTCTTCAGAACGGATTTTCTGCAATAGGTATCGAATACCTTAGATGTTATTTAGCATTTGTGAATTATATTTTGTGTGTCTGTAACAATTCTTTTTATCTAAAATGAATTTTATAGAGTCAACAACTAGTTCAACGGAAACAAACTCATTGCAAACTGTAACAGAGGGTTCGGGAAATGTTAAGCAAACAACAGAAGACAGTAATGAACATTATCACCATAGGTGCTTCGGCAGGAGGGGGCGGTCTTATTACTATATTGATTATAGTCGTAAGTGTTTGTCTGCTAAAACGGAGGTAAATATACAAATAAGTATATCAAATCACCATAACCGAACAATATTTGTATTCATTGTTATTGTTTCTTGTTTCTTGCATAATTCTTTTTTTTTTGTTAATTATTAATAAATATATACTATATTGTTGTTTTAAAGACATTTTCTTCAGTATTGAGAAAATCTTATTCTTATTATTATTTTTTTTTTGTAAAATGGCAGTTATCATATATCTCAGAAACGTCAAAATAACCACATTTTTATAAGAAAAATACAGTTTTATTTATACCACAAATATGATTTAATACATAAATAACTTTATATTTTGAATCTGTATGAAACAAACGATTATCCGGACGTTTTTCTTTACAAAATGCCTTTTTCGTATTCATATTTCGACAAAAATGAGAAAAATGAACACGATGGTAAATAAATAATTTCGAAAAAAACTTATAGATTTTTATATTATATATATATATATATATATAAGGTAAAATTCTATGGTGAATGCAAAAAGAAAAAGATAAATATATTTAAGTTAACGCGTTAGATTTTCTGTAAACGGGCAGTTTTCATGGTAACCGCATATGCCAGTTTTCAAAATAGCTACACTGTCTTTGTAAAATAAAAGTGTTGTACCAATACATTGTTTTATATATATGCATCATCTATACAACAACAAAAAATTGAAATATAGATTATTATTTATTTTGATGTTATATAAAGTAAATACTATTAAACATGCTGTTAAAATAAGTCCCTCATAGTATTTCTTCACCTGACAAAGAATCAGCAAATAAATGACGATTAGAACTTTCTGTCATGAAGGATTTTATTTTTTCTATTCTTTTTTTGAAAAATATTTTATAGATTTACCATATAAATAAAGCTTCTTCGTCTGTTTGAATACCAGTTCAATCAAGACACAATTTTGTCACTGCCAAAATTGGGTGGGTAAAATGCACAGAATCGTCATCAGTGCAGTCACACTCGTGCTAATAAGAATCATCTGACTTAAAAAAAAAAACAAATTTTATTTATTATTGACTAATTTTTGTTTTGAAGCTGGAATTTGAAAGAATTATCCTAGTACTATTCATTTTTTTTGTGATGTACTTCTTTCCGTGAGTGTCTTCCTTGGAAATGCATTTTGATGCGCACATGAACGTTTTTAAAATAGTACAATTAATTTATCATATTACAAATGTATAGTGCAAACTTGTACTTTACAGAAAAAAATCACCGGGTGATGAATCTGCTCAGAACGAAGTGATTGTAACAGATGATCAAAGTATGTGTTACAATTTTAGAATAAGGAGGTGTAAACATATTTACATTTATATTCTTTATGCGTTTTATGTATCATAGATAGCTACACAGGATTCTAAATGTATTGCATATGAATAAATGAATGAATACAGATATGCTTGTGCATTGTAGGACAGTATTTAATTATATTTTGTCAGTGTTAACCATTTGTAAATGACATATTTGATGTAGTTATTTTTTATTATAAACATTCATTTGCATTTTATTCGTGATTTCATTTCAAACTTGTGCATAAACCTTCACTAGTTTATTATTTCTAATGTCAATAGAATCATAAATTATTTGTTTAGATATGTACGCAAAACCGAAAACGACACCTAACGTTGTGAAAGATAATCAGGACTACATTTACGCCCAACCAAACAAATCACATAAACTAAAGACACCTAGTACAAATGAGATTAGTAAACCAAAGACGATGTATGACAACGTTACCATAGACCTAGACGATGAATTAACAGTCTCAAATGGTGCTTATGCAAGTATCTCAAATGAAAAAGATGCTGAAAGTAAAACAGAAATTGAAACTGATGTTGATGAAATAGAGTTAGAAGAATTAGATGACGGAAGGTCAAAACTTATAGAAATAGGTCTGAATTATGTCTCAAAATAATTGTTGTCTTTTTTTAAACAAACAGATATGTGTTTAATAATTTTTAAATTATGACTTAAATGCATATAAAATACTTATCACAAGAGAGTAGTAACGGTGAATGTGAAATATTTTAAATAGGTAGCAAAGGTAAACAAAGGTGCTTTGAATTTCAAATTTAATCACTATATATGTTTTAGTTGCCAAACATAGAAAGACAATATTTCGTTCAACTTATGAACAAAGAGTATTTTTTTCAGAAATTTAACAGTACGAAAAAAAAAAAAAAACAATAAAAAGGTAAAAAAAAATAATACGAAACCATATATACTTTCGAGGCTTCACGAGCCTAACAGCACTAGATATACGTTATATATGTTTCATAATTATATGCCTGTGTCTTAAGAGTGACATTTATTGCTTTCACGAATAATTGCCTGAGTATCACTCATTTTAGACATGGCATGCTAAAACCTGAACAGGTATATTAAAAGATGAATTTCTATTTTCACCAGCACACACAGATACCTGTCTTTATATTTTGTGTTTACGTACTTGTTGCAAATAAGTCAGTGTATAAAAGTTTTTCTTAATGTCAAAACATCGTCCATTACAGAGGTCAACCCACCTAGTGCTGATTTGTATTACAATACAGCCAGTTTGGTTCGAAGCCGGATTCAAATATCTGACATTCTTGAATACATCAAGAAGAAGACTGATTATGAGGATGAATTTCAGGTTCAGTATCTATCGTCATCATATCATCGCTTTTGATATACGTCTAGGGAAGTTGTATATATCTAAATGGTTTGAAACAATATAATATAGAAATTAAAATTTATAGAAATTAAATTGTCGCAGTAACATCTCAATGTTAGGATTTTATACAATAACACAATTAATATTCTAAGTACGATTTATCAATTCGCTGTTGCATGAAATCATTCTATCGGTATTATGTAGGTACTGCCACTACATTACATTGGATGATACATTCAGATTACCTTATCATTTGCGTTTATATGGTAACATAATTCGTTTGCATTTCAGAAACTACCTAAAGGTTTGACAAGAACTTGTAACGAAGCTCTGACTCGGAATAATCGCAAGAAAAATAGATACAACGGAGTGTATGCATGTAAATACTATATAATGCACTACCATACTATAATACTAGAACAAAAGCTATTGAAAGATAAAGCTAGTTCTTTAGTTAAAAATAAATTTTCGATATTTTTTTACAGATATTATGTAATATTTATATACACTATAAAATAACGTTTATTAAAATTAAGTTAATACGAGGTGTCTGTTTCAGATGATGCGACTCGTGTTGTGTTACAAAGTAAAACCTATATCAACGCAAATTACATTGATGTATGTATACATACTTTTACTTCATTTATTTATTTATTTATATACACGTATATAATATGCTATGAAAAAACACTTTTACTTTATTTATTTATAGTCCATAAAGCATTTATTATACCGTCTGTTCATTGTCTCTCAACATAATAATATTTGCAGAAAAAAATAGTTCACAGTCAACCCCATTATGTGTCATTAGAAAATGCTTTGAAATGTAAAAATTATAACGTAATCATTGATCTATTAAAAATTACTTACGCGTTGGAACAATGTTAGAAATGAGCACATTTTATTAATGTTTATAGGGTTGAATCTTAGAAAAAACCGTTTGTAATGACCAAACAATTGTCATTATACTAATTTTGATATGTAAACATATTGCACATTTCTGTATTTGAAATATAATTATGTTTCATACCTTAGGGACACAAGAAGTCACCAGAGTACATAGCCTCTCTTGGTATGTATACGCAATGCTAAATTAAAGATACATTAAATACAGCAATCATTTTATTTTGGTCTTAAACTTTATGTCTTATCATTACGTACATGTTTCTTTGATGCTTATTTGATAAATAAATAGCTCTTTACTTGAATCTTGATCACATTATCTCTCATAATCATACTCAATAAAATCAGGAGGCCACTGTCTCTTGTTTCTAATGATTTCGAACGAGCTCCTTTTTTTCAAGATTTCTATCCGTTAAGTACAATGCCATTAAAAAGCAATAAACTTAAAGACATTTCTTACCTTGATGCGGGACTAATTATATTCTTCTGATTTAAGGACCAACTAAAGTTCAAATGAATGGCTTTAAAGACTTTTGGGAGATGATATGGGAAAACAGAACAAATAAAATCATAATGTTAACCAACCTTGATGAGTCCGGGGTATGTACGATATTACACACTTTCTAGAATATAACGTTTTCCAAATTATGTACTTTTGTGTCATTTATCAAATCATTTATTCGATCTGGACACATATATAAATTAGGAAACAACCACATAATTTGAATACAAAACATATGCCTGACACCTATATAATGTTATAACATTAGACATATTATTTTAGATATATGAATACATTGAGTTTCAGTGCAATTGTAACAGATTGCATTTACCGTAATATTTTATTTGTAACAGTAAAATTGTTTGTACAAAAACTTATCTTGGTACATGTTTATTTTGGTACTACTAAAACAGATTGTGAAAATTATCAAATATACAACCATGATTTTTTTCACTTTTTAGAAAATGAAATGTGAGCAGTACTGGCCTGATCAAGGTAAAACAAAACATTACCAAGGTTACAAAGTGGTGTGCAATTCTGAAAAGATATTTTCTGAATTCACTTTAAGGGAGTTGTCTGTTAATGCTCAAGTATGTATATAAATCTACGTTGCAATGTTTTTTATGTGATTATTGTTTAAGACCTTAATATTACTTGTTTATTTGTTTTATCTTTCAAAATGTTAAACAAAAAAATTAGCTGTATCAGGTTATAGTAATTTGTCTCTACATGTGCAAACTACAGACACCAAAAGTTAACATACATTTATCTCGTCTTTTTAAATTTCAAAGGGTTCTGTATCCAGGAAAGTAACACAATATCATTATACCGCCTGGCCCGACCGATCCGTTCCAGATAATGTTGCCTCTCTGATAGAGTTTAGAAACAAAGTTGAACAATCAAAGACTAACGATGCTGGCCCAATGGTAGTGCATTGCAGGTATTTGTTTTACCATCATAATGAATATGACTGATAACTACATAGACTCGTCAAATATAGCCATATATCGTCTAATAACAACATGCAAATTACAAATAGTAATCTAATTAAATCTAATACATAAGAGGAGGCATTCAGCAATATAAGCAAAACTATAAGATGCGTTAAATGACTCAAAGCAAATAAAGATTTTTAAGTTAATAAAATATTTTTAAAAGATAACATTTTACATTGATATCGATTTTAATTCTGTATATTTTTTAATGTTATGTTATAATTGTGAATACCAGTGCAGGAATCGGTAGAACTGGAACCTATATCGCATTAGATACACTTATACTGGAAGGCAAAAATGACAATTATGTTGACATTTTTGGTCGTGTGATGGCGCTACGTGGACAAAGAGGTCACATGGTGCAAAACTTGGTATGTTATTATATATGGATGATATTTGTTTTTTAACACATGTTTGTCATAAACAAACATTAATTGTGATTTTCTTACAATTTATTATAATGGATTATAGGATATATATTTATAGTTGTACTTTTATCATGTGACATTATAATGATTATTCAGAACCATGTATTGTTCTTTCTCTTATTTAGGAACAGTACATATTTCTTCATCGATGTCTCCTGTATGCCTTCACGTGCGATCCCGATCCACTTCCGGTCACACATATTCCTCGCATCATGACAGACGATAAACTATCACACCAATTTCAGGTACATATGCATATTTCTTATACTTATTGTGTAATTATAATAACTTGTTTATTTTGAAATATCCTTCATTTTTTAAATAAAATCTGTATACTGTCTATATGACTGTTTTTTTCACACTCGAATAATTCAATGAAAAATTATGACGGAAAGCTTTTGCTGTTTATTCATTCCAATTGTGTTATGTTTTAGTCCTTTATATATTTTTCAAAACAACCCTTTTGATATATTGGCATTTGATTTTAAAAGTTGTCACTCTTACAATACCTCTTAAACAGACTATATATCAATCTATTCACAAGTAATCCAATTTGAGATTGAAAATTTTACTGTTGCATCATAGAAATTATACGAACTTCATATTAAGTAGTTGATCAATTATCTGCTTATGTATACTCTGAACGTACGGGTATTGTGTAAAATCGAGTAATGATCATTAAGAAGATCCTCATTATCAGTCGTATTGAGCTTTGCCTAAGATTAAAAAAAAAACAGTTTAAAGCGGCTTTATATGGCAAGAGAAAAATTAATGACAGAAATTAAAACATTTATAATCATTTGTCAGAGATTGTTTTACAAAAAAAGTATTTAAGTTACCTAATTAACATGAATTATTTAATTAGTAACAAGTTAGTCAAATAACATAACAAAACATTCCACTGCTATTTTGCGAATATGTAGAAACGTCTTAATTCAATTTTTGTAAATTAGTATTATTCAAATCGGTATATACGTATTAGCAATATTACATCGGATTATATAACATCCGTTTAAAGCTCTACACATTTAAGTACCAATAGTAATTGCGGTTGACTTTTTAAATATTTCAGACATTTACTGATGTTGTTATGCCGAAAGACTTTGATAGAAAATCATCTGCGAACAAGAAAATAAGGAAGGAAAATAGGCACGGAGCTGACATTCCTAGTATGATCATTTACAGAATATCTTTCTCTTAGCATTCTTATCACTATAATAATAATCAATAATCATGATAATTTTTTATGATTCAAAATCTTACACATATATGTATACCTTTGTTGAAATGTTTTTTTCAATAAGAATTAGAAAGGTCTATTCAATGTTATCAACGTTAACAAGTCAGTGCCATAAAGGGATGGAACTAATACGTGTTCATTCAAATAATTATATAAAACAGAAGGAGAGTTTTTACTTAATCATGGTAGACAGAAAGGATTATATCATATACTATCAAATCAAAAATAATTGTAACAGTAATGATAACAAAGTAAATCTAAAATAAGTGTATCAGTAATCATAAATTTGGAGCTGTTGATGATAATTTATAGAAAACCAACCCGTAATTCATAATTGTGCAAATTTTGCTAAAACTTAAAAGTTTAAATATTTTTTTGCTTTTCAATGGTATCACATTACCCAAGACAGTGTATAAGTAAACTTCCTTTTTCATTCACACTTATAATACCACACTGCGTTAATAATAGTAGATTTCAATAGAAAATAACCGTCTGTAAATATACCCTATTTGTATGAAAAAATCTCATTTGAATAGAAAACCTTGGCTATTCAATGGTTTGTAAAGTTTGGTTTCAGGGTAATACCCTGTTGTGCACAAGGAAGTGATTAAAAACCGAAAATAGATCTTTATATCATTAAACCATAAAACAAATTTACATTCAACATTTTAAGGCTTGAATAAATAACATCCTATTTTTTTGTGTAGGCGATGATTACAGAGTGAGACTGTCATCAACAAAGCATGACTACATCAATGCTGTTTATGTAAATGTAAGTGTATATGTGAAAGTTATTTTGATTTCGTTTAAAGTTTCGATTGTCCCCCTTTTCAATATTTTTTCATGAACCTTGCTTGCGTTGCCCCCCCCCCTTACTTTTATTGAATACATATATTTCCTCTTTAATTGTATTTATACATGCTATGGTGTATTTAAGACATTAAAATATTATAAATAGATTTTTAATATCATCAACTTATAACATTTATTGAAATTTTATTTTATTACTTGGTATCTCAATTTCAGGGATACGAAAATCCATACAAATTTATTGTCACACAGACGCCAATGCTATATACAGTTGAAAACTTTATATCGATGCTGTATCAAGAAAAATGTGTTTGTGTTATTAATTTGGACGACGAAATCCTGAAAGATAAAGTGAAGGCAATTTATAGATAATCTAGCTTGTTTAAAATAATTATATACATGTAAAAGATATTATTTAATAGTATTAGTTGGCAAATTAATTAATCCATGCCTAACATATTTCTTTCAAGTGTCATTTTACAATAAAATTTAACGCAATGCAAATGTTTGCTTGCTTGACGATGGGTGGATAAAAAAGAATCACATTGAAAGCTTAAAGACTGTGAGAATTCTAAATCATTTATTTGTATGTTACTTTATAATTAAGACTGATTTTGAATTTTTTGCTAAAAATTGTAATCAAATGTTATAATTAATTTTAACAGAGATTTCTTGAAAAAGATGATTTTTCAATTTTTTATGTTTGTCACTTTTTAACATTAATCATTACAGTCCGTCGGACATTATCTAACGCAAGATGGAAAGACGTTCAAAGTTGGACATTTCCAAGTAGCTTGTAAGACGGTTGACACATCGGATTATGGTACAATACGGGACATGACAATATCACGCACTGGATTGGTAGATGTTTTTATTTTATTGTAGATTATTTATTTAGATGAAAATAAGTTATGAGAAATATTACGCCAGATCTTTTAAGATGTCCCGTTAAATGCACAAAAGTAAAGGCTTCTGCTTTTTTTTAGCTCACCGTCCGTCGTCCGTCCACATTTGTTCGTTAACACTCTAGAGGTGACATTTTTGCCTCAATCATCATAAGACTTTCTCAGGATGCTTATCTAGTTGGTAGCTCGGATGAGTTTGAACATGGGTCATCTCGGATGAAAAACAAGGTCACAGGAGCTAAAAAAAGAAAAACCTTGTTAACACTCTACCGGTCACATTTTTGCCTCTATCATCATCAAACTTTATCATGCTTGTTTAGGTGATAGCTCGGATGAGTTCGAACATAGGTAATCTCGGATGCAAAATTAGGTCACCGGAGCTAAAAATAGTAAAACCTTGTTAACACTCTAGTGGTCACATTTTTGCCGCAATTATCATCAAACTTGGTCAGGATGCTTATCTAGTTTATAGCTTGGATGAGTTAGAACATGGATTATCTCGGATGAAAAACTAGGTCACAGGAGCTAAAAATAGAAAAATTTTGTTTCCACTCTAGTGGTCACATTTTTGACTCAATCGTCATCAAACTTGGTCAGGATGATTGTCTAGGTTATTGCTCGGATAAGTTAGAACTTGGGTCGTCTCGGATGAAAAACTATGTCACGGGAGCTACAAATAGAAAAATCTTGTTAACACTTTAGTGGCTACTGTTTTGATCCAAGTATCCTGGAAATTGGTCTGAAATTTTATTTTGATGATTTCTAGGTCAAGATTGAATATGGGTCACCTGGGTAAAAAATAAGGTCACACTGTTCAAATATGGATAATATTTGTTAACACTCTAGCGATCACATTTTTGACTCACCTGTCTTGAAACTTGGTCAGAATGCTTGTCTAGGTAATTGTTCGGATGAGTTCGATGGGTCAGGTGAGCGATCTAGGGCCTTGTTCCAGATCAGAATATTTTTGTTTTCTTATTTTGAATACATCACATTCACATTGTTCATTGTTCAAGATCAAACATAATCCTGCAAGAACAATGAACATTTTGAAAAAGCAAAGGTGTGCAGAATTTGGAAGTTTTCAGTTGTAGCTGGTCAGTAGTAATCTATCATTACATCTATCATCACATAATTTCAATCCAGAACTTCCTATTAGATTCTGTATGATAACCGAACTTCGCTTTAAATAACCCTGATTAATTCATCACATTAAGTAACGTAAAACAAGTGCTCTGTTTAAACTTTATATTTAAAACCACTTTATATAAGTTATATTTTGAGAGCAATTAATCACAGATTTTAGTTACATATAGCACCTTTCTGGAGGGGAGCTGCATTTGAAACATTACCAGTATAACGGATGGAATCAGTCTGGAAAAGTCCCATCTATGATTGAGCCGTTTTTAAAACTCGTCAAGGATGTTGAGAATGAGGTCAAAGGTCAAAGAGAAGATAGACCAATCGTAGTTCATTGCTTGTAAGTATTGCATTAAAACAAATCTATTTGCGAAATCAATTTTTCATATTTTGATTTACTGTTGATCGACTATGAAGAGGTATCATTATACATGTATGTCCTTGTATTTAATTGAGTAGCTAGATTTATATTTGTGTGTTTGATTCGGCTTGAATCATTTGTAAAAGCAGTTTGATATGTCATGTATACGTATAATTATATAGATACTTTTGTGATTTAATGCTGTTATTTATAGAACTGGAGCTGAACGAAGCTGTTTACTTTGTGCTATCTCTATCATATCAGAAAAGTGTTTCTTTGAGAAAGAAATTAGTGTCCTAAATACCATTTGTCAACTGCGTTCAAGGAGGAAATCAGCTTTTACCGACATTGTAAGTCATTAACTACACTCATATAAAAGCATGTGATATAAAGCATGATAAAACTATAAGATATTATCATATATGTAAGTGATCATCATAAAAAAGCATGTGAATTGGCTATCATTAAGGTACTATCCTATGCAGTTTCGATAACTATTCTCTATTTTTGCTTCTTATTTTACTTCTTATTTAAGTTCAAGTTGTAGTTTACGATCAATTGAGTTTTCTATGTCACTTCACATTGCATCAATAATTAAACATAAGCTCTATACAAATATATCCAACTTGTCATTATTTTGAACTTAAAATAAATTCGCCTATTTGTCAAATCAATTGCAAAACATTGCCTATGTCTACCAGGAAAGACTGTTTTAAATTACATAAAATAAAACAAAAAAAATACAGTTATTGACAAATTGATATCATTGAATTATTATTATTATTATTATTTTGGTCTAAATTATCAATTTACTTTATTTCAGTCACAATTCAGGTTTTGCTACCAATCTGTAAAATATCTGGCTGAGATTTCCGAAAAGAAAAAATACTATAATATGAACGAGTTGTTGTGAACAATGGTTGAACAAATTTGTCTTTATTGTCAATTTATTACTTGTCCATTTTTACACAAATATCACACTTGTTAAAAGTCTGAAAATGCTAATATTTTTATGTTTCAAAAGCTTTATTTTGGCGTTTGGTGTCCTGTTGCAATCTCTGAAAAGACATATTTCTCATTGGCCATACATAAAGTTTAGCCATATTGTTTTAGTGTTGTTTTGGCAAAAATCAGTTATTGTCTTTTTGTATTTTATATGAAAATCAAAATGCAATTTTCTTTACATTTTCTTAACCTAAATTAAAAAAAAAATATTTCACCTCTTCGAGCACCGTATTCTTCAGTTGATATGCATCTTACATGTTCTTAATTCAATTTTACATCATAACAATGGCTTTTCTTCTGAAAAGAATACTCATTGTTTTTTGAATACATGTAAAGACACGTTTTCAAATATGAAGGACATTTACACTGAATAGTACTGTGAAGTTTTGAAATATTGTTATAACAGTTTTCTAACAGCTTTTTGTTAAATTATTTAAAGTCGCTTGTATTTGTAATTTTCGATGCATTTAGCTTACAGTATGCATTTGTATGCTTAATATAAACAGTTTGATTATATTTTATTATGTTCCGGTCATATTATTTTATTATTGAAAAGCATGTTACTAATTTTCTTATTGAATATTTAAAACTATATATTTTAATGATGTAATATATGACTGTCTCATTTCATGCAAATTAATTTTCATTTTGGAGTTGTTTTATTTTTTTTCTCAAAATGGTATGTTTGGAAGGACATACATATACCATTAATGGTATGAAAAAAACTGACAGAACAATAACTACTTTTTAGCTTTTATATCTGCCATGTGCAATAAACATAAATATATGAATAATTTAAACAAATTATATTATGATTGTGATAAAAGAAAGTATTAGTTTTATGAAGAAATCAAAATATCAATCCATATATAAAGAAATATGAGTGAACTATTATTCTGTGTTATAGCTTAAATGAATTAAGTATTTATCATACTTATTTTGCTTCTTTCCCTAAAAGTTAGATTTTTTTATCCAAAAAGGTAAATAAGCTATAATGTCTTTTAAACGAAAATTTATATATTTCATTTTATCTAATGAGCCGACTCAATAAACCGAGTCTGATATTATCAACTTTTTCCTTTTTTCATAGCTCTCGAGTGTCCTCCTTTAAGAACAGTATTATTGCTTATTATAAAATAACATAAAAATAAAGTACAGACTTTAAAAGCACGTTTTCTTAACTAGTAGTGTATGATTTGAAAAGAAATTATAATGCTATAGCCTTTCTAACTGTGTTTTATAGAGTATGCTTTTAGTTTATACATTATGATAATCGAAACATATATTAGTAAATATTTATCTTTATACAGGTTTATTCAAGTTTACAAACTAATTTAGTCTGACCAACTACAGTTTACAATATTCCGTTGTCTGACCAATATAGGTTTATTAGATTAAGTCTCTCCAAAAACAAGTTAAATATTTATTTTGTTCTTTACAAATAATAGTCTTTGCAAAACAGATCTACATCTTCCAATTGGTTATCATTGATATCCGTCTATAACTCATTAATAAACTATAGATATTTCAACATGTGTTTAGAAAATACAGACAATTCAATTCAGGTGTAGACTGTAGCCCATTTATCATTGTTTTGTTATCTTCATAAACTTGTAAACGAGATTTTTTTATATATAAGTTTATAAACTAAAGCTTCTTCTGCAAGAGTTTTTTAAAGATGTACTTCTATAGTTGATCTCGAACAATTTGGCTTTATTTATTCAACACATATATTAAAATTAAAGCAAAATGTGTTTTCACATTTAGTCAGTGGTCTTAAATATGAATTTTTAATATGTTATCCTTTTGCTAATTTTGTATACGTTTTGCATTTACTTTTACAATTAATTGTTACACTGTTGTCTGTTATAATTGTTAGGTTTGTAATACTCATGCTTTAATCAATAAATGACATGTAAATTTGTTTTGTTGTTATAGTGGATTTTATGCTCAAATATATAGTTACTGTTATAGATTATATAATATATAGTTACTTTTTGATAAATCCATATGATAACACATTGCCTTGCATTTTTGAACCATACCACAATTCACCCTAAGGCCAAATATGTACAGATTCGGTGTTACCGTGACACAATTCCTGCGTTTTTTTACATTCTTGCATTATGGGTTAACTCTGTAAAATAGAGAGAAATAAAGATTCCCTAAAGAAAGCCCAACAAGACAAAGTTGAAAATGTTGCAGGCTCGGTTTGATTGAGCCTGTTCTTGGATGGTAATTGAAATTGCAAGTTACCGTTTACGTCCCCTAGCAACGGCTTAAGCAGAATTTAACATTTAATCATGGAAATGGTGCAATTTTGAATTAAGAAACATCCGCAGATATGTTCATAAGGCGGTTATCTTGGAACCTTCAATGTGACACTTTCATGCCACTCTATGAAAAGCGGCGTATAACCAAAAGTAAAAGAATGCGTGTGCCCTTAACGAGAAAACAATGGGCGGAACTAAATAAAATGGAATTTTGAAAAGGGAACAGAGGTTATGAAGTCTGCATATCACAGAGACAAATTTAAAAAGCAGGCAACATATCCTAAGGGTGATTAAACATTATTCAAGTAGGGATATTGAAACCACCTACAAAGTCGACAAAAGTCTTACAATGTGTAATCGTATACTATAATTATACCACTTAAAGCAATCATTATACTTCAACGGTATTGCCAATAAAGATGGAAGCCTTTGACTTTGGTTTTTATTACGATATCACCGAAGCATTGTTTTAAAATGCAAAACGTTTAACGAAACCATAAACTGTGATTAAGTATATACTTTAGAGGGCTTAATAAGAGACAATTGTGGTCGCCGTTATTTAAGACAATTTTCATAAAAGATCGAAGCCTCATTCACTTTTGTGCATAGAGAACGGTCTTAATTCATAGTAATTTAACAAAAACACAAATTTTTACCTAGAAAAATCGTTAACTCGTATTTGCTATGTCCAAGGTCCTCCAAAAAATTGAAATTGACCCTTATGATCGCTGAGTAATATGTTTTATACTTAGTCTTATATATGTAAAATGTTTGTCATTAAGATGATGTGCATAACTAAAATTTCAGACGCAACGCTTTTCGGTTATTTTAAAGTCAAAAGTTTTAACTTAAAAGTTAGTGAACACTCTAAATGTTTAGAGATAAAGGATAGTAGAAGCTTAGTAAGACGGAGTGAAGAGCCTTTTCTCAATAACCGTCCTTCAGAGCTTGAAGGATGCGTAATATCTGCATCTAACGCTTTTTTATCCTGATTCAAAAAATATAGAAAAGCAAAATCCCACAAGATAGCACAACATCCCAAAATTGAAAAATGTTCACGCTCGGTTTGATTGAGTCTGCTCATGGACGACCATGGTAATGAATTTCAGTCGCCTATTGCAGGTCAGAAATTTGGCCATCACATATTTGTCTTCTGTGTTATTGTTGAAGGTAATGAGTACTTGTTGATTTTTCTAGCAAGTAAACCATACTTACTTGTCTTATTTTTATTATTTGCAACATTATAGTTAAAACTGTTTACGGATATTAAACAAAGTATGTGTGTTGATTTGGTATTTCATGGTCATATTTTCAACATATCATTGCGAATTAAGAAGGGTAACAATAAGACAGCATTGACATAGACTTATTGTTAATAATCTCCCTTTACATTGCAAAAACAACTAAACAACGCGATTTCGAGCTTAGAATTTGTATGCACCACCAGCGAAAATTGTATTATTTTTAAGAGTAATCTCTAATTGTTTTTTTAAACCATAGGGTCATAATTAATGTTTTAATTAATCATCCCTTCTTTTTAATTATGTTAAACTTTTGTGATAAAATGATAATGGTAAAATAAGGACTTGATTAAAACCATCTTTTTAAAAAAAAAACAAAAAAACAAAAAACATCAATTTATAAACGTCATCGTTATGTCCTTATTCTGCCTAATAGTTTTTAAAATCTTGGTAAAGTGCATTTTCTTTCCTCTAAAAATTATCATTTTGTTCATTCATCAACATACCAAAATTGTTTTCAAAGTTTATATGTATATGACATTTATCAATATATTTTGGTTCAAAAATGGTTTACCCAGCTTTTTTAGTTTTAAGATTTTATTTTTCAAAAATATAATTATCCGCCAACGAAAATAAATACGGTAATGTTCTAAATTTATTTTGGGGGATGCGGTAACATACTTATCACAGAAATCTACGTGGCATATGAAGGGTATATAGATTTTGAAGATTTAAGTTGCGGCTTAAGGATAGAATACATAGCATGTCTATTTCCTGGGAATACAAAGTTTAACATTTTTAATCAAAAGTTTATCTCGCAGGTGCTTATGCATCCTTGATAATAATATCAGGGATATAGATGCCTCGCCTTCATTTGTTTAGTTTTTGCGGAGGCTATGCCTCCCCAATGTTAATACAATCCGTCAAATCTTACTGCCGCGGTAATCAGGTCAAAAAATAGTACCTTGATTTTTTCTAAGCTGACTGATCACTCATCACAGACATTTACAATATGAAAATATTTTCATTCTTTTATTTCATATTTGCAATTTGTAAAGATAATAATTATCTGAAAAATTCTTGATTTTTGTTTGTTATTTTTTCAAAATCGCTACTCCGTTACGTCATACTGCCGCGGTAATCAGGTTTAGGCATACGTACGTTGGTAATAAATAGTTCTGGCATGAAAATCCTTCTATACAATAACTTTTATCAATATTTTTAAACAAAAAGCATAAATGAAAATTTATAGGTAAATGCTTTAATAAGGTGGCAAATATTCTTTACTATTTTTGATAACAATTTTCCAATTACTACGCAGCGACCAACTGTTTATGACGGGTCATTAACTAGAACGTTGCAACACCGTAGTCTCAATATCATGCATGTTCTTTTGTTGTTATACACCATTAATAGTCCTTAATATTTTTTTAAGACAAATAATGGTAAACTGTCGCTTACATCAGAGACATGGATCATGCTTGCGTGATAACTAGGAAAACTAACTTATTAGTACACCTTAGGAGGCTGTACGCGGAAAACGCTCATAAACCGCTATTTCATATAGCTGTTAGTAAATAATTTGCATACATTTAACTAAAAATTCACTAATGGTGATGAACATATAGTTTGAAATCATTATATTCTTAAACCATGTATCGCCGAAAATAAAAACTATTTAACTACAAAATCCGTAAGGACCCTCCGACAAAATTTCACCACAAGATTACATTTAATATTAGCAAAATAAAAAAAAGCAATACTTAATTATATTTTCATCTTACATAATTCATTAATCAAACTTTTAACATAAAAGTATGTTTTAAAAATATGTCTGGCAATTGACAGATCCCTACTCTGATCTTTTATTTGTAAAGGAATAAATGTAAACATGTGCTCTTTTGTTTAGGAATATTTTTTAGTGAAAGTTTTAATATATCCACTAATCTCATAATTAGAATTAGACAGGTCATGGATTTATACAACCAGTAGTTTAGTTATCTACGCTCATTTTAATCTCAATAGAAACATTCAAATATCTGGAGTAAAAAACATGACCAAAGTACCTAGTAGTCGTTTACCCGGTGGTGATCCCATTAAACTAATTATAGATTCGAATAGAAAACTCAAATAGAAACATGTGTTTCGGTACAACAAAAATCGGAAGTAAAGTGAACAGTTAAATGACAGAAATATGTGGTCAAATATGTTTTAACAAGGAAATAATTATTTCAGAGAAAGACGCAAAGATCAGTCTTCAATCAAATGAATGACCCCGTATTGTGTAATTAGAAAGTTTATTCAATTCTAGGGCAACGAATCATAATTTGATAGTCCATGTGTAATAAAATTTTCAATACAGATTATGAGATACATAAAAATATTAAAGAATAAGAAGCTTTAAAAAAGAAAACAAAAAAAAACGCAATGCATATATATACGAATGACTTACAATCGAGCATCGGAAATTCATCAACATATCTTACGAAATTTTAATTTGAAAACGATATTTGCGCGCGCTGAAGTGATTAATGTTTATTTGAATAAATCAAATAAAAAGAACTTATTTGTTTGTGTTCTAAAAATAATTGGCGGCATGAGACGAATTTCGTTTTCATTTTACAACACTTGAAAAAATGCTACAGAAAATATGTTTTTTTTTTTGTTTTTTTTTTCAACAAGAGTGTGTGTTTTAAGTTCATTTATTCTCGGCACCGGAATAACCATATGTCCGAGATTATAGCATCGGGGACGTCTTTTTCAAGCAGAATCTTCCTGGTAGCCCATTCTTCGTTCGTTAGTGGTAAAGGAGACGACAGTACTGTCAAGACATCAACTTCCTGACTGACGACAACAAAAACGGCATTCATTAGCGCCAAACCTCCAGAGTAAGTTACGACAGGTCAACCAATGACCTCTGGTTCTTGAGATGACTTGACCTTGACCTGCCGTGTGCCTTCTCCGCGACGTGCATACCTCTGGAGAGTTTTGGAGAAGTTTCAACAAAAACCTCCAAAACACGCTATTTATAACACCATTCATAGCACTGACGCTTCGATGTTCTCATCTATTTGCGGGAAATGGTCGACAAGGAAAACCTATGTAATAACCGCACACCCTGTTAACAGATTTTCCGCAGTATATATTTCAAGCTAGTGAGGTTTAAAATCTATCGATTAACTACCATAAGTTGGTTGAGTGTTGGCGGTAAAAAAAGAAGATATAACTTCCTGATAAATTTTCACTTAGGTTGATTCAATTTTGAATAAGCTTTGCAGATATGTATTTTTTCAAGAAATATTTAGCTTTAATATTATCCGAAGCCGTCAAAGTCAGCGACGAGTAATGAAATGGGAATAATTTTCTGAAACGTGATTTTATTCGAGATTTGCTT